ACAGTTAGTTAAATATTACAAAAGAACAAATTAATTAAAAAGTTACAAGGAAAAATTATTAAAATACTTTAAAACAGTGTTAGAACAATTCTAAAAGTTAATTATCTATTTTACTTTGTTATATATAAAACCAAGGTATTCTACCTAAAAATAAATACACTACTTCAGCTAATTTTTCTTTTCATTTTGACAATGAACATAAGAAACAAATTAGGTTACAATGGATTCAATTACAAAGCTGTTTGTCCAAAGTAGCTTTTGGCCGCGTAAAGGTGACCACTTCCAGGTGGTGTTACGTGACCGCATGTAAATCATCCGCAACACGCGACGCCTATACTATTCTCTTCTTCGTTTCCTTCCTCTCTATTTCCTCTCGTCCTCATACTAGTCCTCATACTAGTTCTCGTCCTTGTCCGCATCCTCATCCTCGTCCTCGTCGATGCACATGTTAACGTCATACCGTTAAACGTCGGTAACACGTGTCGCGCATGTAATCCATGACCTCTCGTTATTATACTTCGAGCTAGGAGTCATAAGCGTACATAAAGTCTTAAGTTTTCCTCATGTTTTACTACGTAAACGATTAGGTAAACGGATTTTAAACGATACCTAAGTAAATACACATATGGTGTATCTATATAAAAGTTGAAATCGTAAAAGGTAACCATAATAAGAGATATTTTTGATCATTATAAACGCGTACGCATGATTTAAACTGATTTTTGAGTTATTTTTTTAAAGGGGATCTTTTTAGGATTATAAAATTTTTAAAATAATTCATTTATATTTTAAGTGCATATATCGATTGTATAGATATTTTAATAATGGATTATATTAGAAAAGTTGACATTAATTTGATTTTTAATTTAATTGCGAAATTTATCCGCTAAATTGTAGATGCATTTTTTCTTCGTATAGAATTTTTCTAATTAGCATAATTGAAGTAAAAGGGAACAACAAAACTTACAATTTTCTGTAATTTGATATAAAATAAACATTATAGTAACTCATTGTTATATTCGAAAAAGTATTCAATTATTATTAGATTAAAAAAGAAAACAAGAAAAACTAATTATATTTTAAATCAACAATTATTTTTGTTTTAAATTAGAAAAATATTTATTTTTCACAAATTATTTCGATAGAAAGAAGAACAAAATGAGTAAAAATTTTCTTGTTAATTACGTCATCGGACCTTTAATAACTCCTTAACCACAAAACGTTTGTTTCCGTTTATCAAGTTGAATCTTTAAGAGATCGTACAGTGTTAACGATTTCCGGTGTGGTATAATAGTTATATACGTTATACGAAAGTCGAGTTAAAGTCGACGTTAAACAGACGCATAAGAAAGTAAGTAAGTAAGTATATATGTACCATAGGTATAGGAGTAAATAAAAGATGGCGGTGGGATGTGGGCGGGGAACGATATTGCTTCTAATAATCACGAACTCGATGACTAAGCATTAGACCTAGTTTCTTCGATCATGTGTACGTTTATAGAGATCAATAAGATCTTTTGTTGTGTGGTTATCTACTACAATTTTAACTCCTACATACAGTTGACTGCCAAAAATATTTGATCATTATAATAAGATCAAATTTATGCTTCAATTTATCGATTATTTATCAACCCAAATCTCATCCTAGTTAGTGTTTTTGACAATTCATCAATCTTAATAAACATATGTATAATTTATGTTACTATTTTCTCTGTTTTTTTTTTTTTTTTTTTTTTACGTCAATCATAGTAATTAAAAGAAACCTAAACACTTCAAAATTAATTTTCCTGATTTTTCCAAAAAGATAAACTATTAAATGAATTGTAAAAATAGAAAGATGTTATATTTTTTCAATTTTCTTTATTCCTTTTTCCTGTTTGCATCAAATATAGGAAAATCGGGTAAATGCGTATGAAAATAATCGAATCTGGTCGATCCGTAAACGAGGAAAATAAGTTTAGGCGTCATGTTTAGAGATGGGAAATGCGCACAACTGTCCTCCCCTTCCCTCCCAACCCCTCCCATCCCACCAACTCACTCCCTCCCTCTCTCTCTCTTTCTATCTTTCTTTTTCCTTTTCTGTTTCTCTTTCGAACGATCGTGAAAATCTCGTATCGGCACGGTACGGCACCCTCGTCGTCCTCCCGTCTGGTTCACCCTCCGACGTTAATCCGAAACGACGTAATACGTTTGGTACAGGCCATACGCTAATCCATGGAAAACGCGACGAGAAACGGAAATCGTTAAAATTCGACGGACCACAGTAAAAGCAAAAGCAAAAGCAACAGCAACTATAGACCAATATCAACATCAACATTAATCTAACTGACAATGAGTGCACAACGATATGGACACATTTGTTATTCAATTATTTTTTTTCTTTTTTATTCAATAACTTCACGCGAATATGTATTTTTATCCGTTAAAGTTGTATATTTCAGTTTATTCATGAAAAAACCTTAAACGAAATATAATTAAGGAAAAGTATATAAAAAGAATTTTCTTATACACTGAAATTAATTATTTTTAGAAATAACTAACTAAAATATGAATTCACGTGAGACGAATAATTCGAATGATGATAATAATAAGTATAATAATAATCTTGCATTAGTAATGGTGTAATAGTAGTAAAAAGGGGGAGGGGTGAAATGAAGTAGAGTATATGATGATGACAATAATATGATAATATTTGCAATAATAATAATAATAGTGAGTATGATGGTAGTCTGAGTAATGGCAATAATAGTAAAAGGGAAAGTATGACGTTTAGTGGAACATAACACTATGTGAGTACCCTAGAGTACTACAATTTAAATTTAAGGCTGAGAATATATATGAGAATATAAAAAATAACTATGTTTTTCATATTACACGCTTATAATCATTGTATTATTAATGCATTTTCTTTTCTAAATTTTTATATGTACACTATAAGTAAAAAATAAAAAAAAAAAATACTTAACGTAGAACAATATATCACCGATATTAAATGAAAAATTTTTAAAACAACATACGGTTTGTTCGAAGTATTAAAAATGTTAATAATCATTTTGAGGAAATCAATTTTAAAAATCATTCGCATAGACATTTTTTGTATCATTACGTTTTTTTCCCCCTTTAGATACACGTGCGACATATGCTTTTTTTTTTATATCCAAGCAGGTAGACAAAAAGGGTTCGCTTTTGCTAAATATGAGAGGGAAATGAAGGGATAAAGAAGAAAAAGAACGAGGCGGACTTTAGGGGGTTTCCTGAAAATAAAAAATAAAAGGATACAAGTTGAGAGTAGGTACTACCATCTCGCGTATCGTAGTATTTGCGTAAAAATGGCAGGAAAAGAATGGCAAGATAAAGAGGGAGGAATAAAAAAAAAAAAAAAAGTAAAGTTAAAAAATAAAGTAAAGTAAAATAAAATATCAAGTAAAATAAAAAAAAAAAAATCTAAAGAGAGAAGATGAACAATCAGGATGAATATTTTTAATTATAATTTTATTAATTTAATTTTTAATTTTTAAAAAACCATACCACCCCACCCTTTTATTCTATATTATTTTTTTCCTATTTGACTTAAAATTGATACAAAAACGAAAGAGTAATACAAATTGTGCGGAAAAAATAAAAATGCGCGTGCACACACACACACACACAACTTTAAAAATCAAGCAAAATAATGAAAATAAATTCGTTCCAATCCATTCCACTCTGTTGAATGATCAAAATAGAGAAGGATAGCTAGATGGAAAAAAAAATAAAAGGAGAGAGAGAGAGAGAGAGAGAGAGAAAGAGAGAGAAGGGTAAAGAGCGAAAAAGTTAGATGAAAGGTTTGAAAAGCTAGGAAAAGCTTTGTAAGGTCTCCACTGTTGTTTGTTAATCAATTACTCTCGCTCATTGTCAAAGCTCGTCGTCCTCTGTTCGTATTCGATTGGATGAATCCATGCGACGAAGGATGCGCGGTAAGCTGCCATACTTCACGGAAAATGTAGGATCAACGTACCTGGTTTTATGTTTTAGCTTTTTCGCTAGATATCCACCCTTTTTCAAATCCCCTAAAAAATCCTCTGACCCCCTAAAACCACCCAAACGTATATCCCCCTATCAACACCCCCAAACTACAACCACTACCATCTAAACTGTTAAATCTGCACTCCTATACCAACAACACCTCCTACACCAACACAATACTTCAACTTTTACAAAGTTCAGCGTCGCGCCTCTGTATGAGCTTCTGTACGCCCTTTGATGTCATTTTACAGACTAACATAAGAGAAAAAAAAAAAGAAATAAAAGAGAGAAAGACTGAGAGAGCAAAAACGCTTTTCAAAGTACGGATTTACCTACGCTTGCTTTCCACAAGCGACATGTTTTGCTATTCTATGCATTTACTTGGTACACAAGCGGCCAAACACCGTGTCCTTGTACTCATCGACAAGAACCAAGCCCTTTTCTCTCTTTAAAATCTATCTTTTAAGCTTTCTTTCTCCTTTTACATCCCCTTCTTTTCTTTCCTTTCAAGTACACTTTTGTACTTTCTCATACCTTTCGATGTTTTACCGACTACTACAGATTATTTCTTTCAATTTAAGATATGAAATGTACTTATTGGCAAACTATATCTTCGAATAGCTAGATCAGTATTTAGGTTTAACAGTTTAGTAATAATGTGTGCAATGGTTACGATAATAATGATGATATTAATCATCAAAATTGTAACGATATGGTAATAATTAGAGTAGTATGATGATAGGGTGATATAATAATAACAATCGTAATTAAAAGAATAACAATATTACAATAATGATGATAAAAATAAACTTATTAATAATATCAATATAATGTTGATATAATAATTATTAATATAACATTTTGTTTCTCTCTTTCTTCAAAATTTATCTTTAAAGAGCTTTCTTATTTCACATCATTTTCATTTTGTTCTTTTAAAACATCCCCTCTGATATTTGACCAACTACTAAAAATTATTATTGTCCATTTCAGATATTCAAATATAATTAGAAGAAGATAGAGAAATACATAATACTCGTGAGTATACCATTAATTTTTTTTTTTTTTTCATTGCACGTGATAATAAAAATTGAAAAAAAATGTTTTGATTTGTCGTTAAACGACTTGTATCATTAAATATTACAGTGTCACGGTTACATGTCGAAGACGCATCTTCGGCTTTAAATCTCTCGAGAGGATAATGAATGCACCACCATCGTATCAGACGAGTACAACGACTACTATAACGATGACTATGTCACCGACAAACGCAATACCAACACTACCAAGAGAAAGTGGATGACGAGGAGACACGAGGTGGTTTTGAAGAGTCCACCGACGACTAGACCGCTTGATTCCTCTGCTAACTGTGCTCATGCGAAAAGGGAAGAAACTTTAGAAAATAAAAATTAAAAAGAAGAAGAAGAAGAAGAAGAAGATGGATCGTAGAAAATCCATCCATTCCAAAGAGATAAATTCTTCTCAACCTGTGGGATAAATTACAACGAAGTAAGGATGAAAAAAAAAGAAAAGAAAAAATATCAGAAGGGTGGGACATGGTGGGTGGGGAGAGTGGGAAAGGGGCGAGTTTAATGGTAAAAAGAAAGAAATACGGAGTTAGGGTTTATTTACACTCACCCTCGTAAATCAAGCAAAATCTAAATTATAGAATAAGAACTGGCAATGAGAGAGAAGTAGGATGAGTGTGAAAGATTTGAAAAAGAGAAAAAAGAAAAAAACGGAATAAAATAGGGGAAAGGTAAGAGAGAAAAAGGGATGAAAAGAAAGTGCAGGGTTGCTTTCGAGCTTTTTCTGATAAACGCTGAGTAATGGAACGCAAATTACGTTGGCGCGACCAATGAAAAATGAAGAATCCTTTTCGAACGATTTACACCATCACCACCACCACCTTTCTCCCTCCTCCCCTCCTAGCCCTACCAACCCTTCCCCACACACCACCCCCCGAACGAACAAATGAGAAGATAATTCCGTTTAAAAATTGTTCGTAAAATCGATAATAACGATTAGGTTACTTCGATTGGCCGGTTTGAATTTATTGTGAAAAATTCTTGTAAAATGTGTATAACAGAATTTGGTTTTATTTTGATCTTCTCGAAATAAATGGAAAATTGTTGGGTTTTTGGTCGTTAAAAACGAAAAGTAATCGTAAAAAAGTCGAGGGTTTAGGAGAAATCGCGTGAGCGATTACGATGGCATTAAAAAACTTACTCGAGGAATACGAAAGTCTCTCTTTCTATTCCCTGAGCTCGCTTTTAACCGAGAAACGCATACATACACATACACATACATGCGCAAGTACAGATATAAACAGGGTGAGAGGGAGAAAGAGGAACAGGTAGGAAATGAAGGCTGGGTAAAAGTGCATGACTTTAAAAAGGACGAGTTTTTAGCAACCTACCCTTGACATTTTTACTTTACTCTCTTAATATTTTTTAAATCTTTTTCCTTTAGTATATGTATTTAAGTATATGTGATATATTAAGGAAATATATATAATATATATATATTAATACTTTATAGGATACACACATAATATATAAAAGTATATGGTATATATGTCAGATAAGAAAATTATTATTACTATTATTGTAGGGGGGTAGATTTAATTTCCAAAGATTCAGTTATTTAGAAAACATTTTTCTCATTTTTTTTAACTCAACTTTAAAAGGACTTTATGTTGACAACTAATTAATAGCAGTAACATAACCTCAAACAGCTACTACTCTATTCAAATGGGTACTATGTTAGTCAATGCAGTAGTGAATAATTACTAATGTCAACTTATTTATGGACTACTTAGTGCATACTAAGTGAGTGTAAATAAACCCTAATTGTATTGCTTAGTTTATACCAACATAGAATATTTTATATATATATATATTACATAATATTTTATATAAATATTGGTTTGTTATAACATAAATTTATCCTGTTTTCTGTATTTGAAAAAACACTCAAACATTTTTTTCACTTTTTCTTTTTTATATTTTTCCAAATAAAGAAAACAAGACAAACAAATGTTACAATCAAATATATAATTTATCTTATTATATTTTTGATCTCTACAATTTGTTATCAGCAACGAAGAAGAACAGAGTACACGCAACGTCTTCGAGGTTTCGTATTATTAATACGAAATCCTCGAAGGTGAAAAATTTCCATGGAAACGGAATAGGAAGTGGACAAAAATCAGATATATTTGATTCTTCGAAGAAAACAAAAACAATCGCTAAGAAAGGACTATTAAAAGTGTCAAATCTCGAAACAGTAGAATTCGAAGAAGAAATAAACGAGAGAAAAATGGCGGGTGCCGGTGTCGGTGGTGTTGGGATGCTCAGAGCAAGAAGGCGGGACGTCAGTGTGAAACCAAATAGAAAACTCGACCGGAAGTCCTCTAGGGGGATGATTTACGAGAACGAGGAACTCAGATTGAGAACTATTCATATTAACGCCGAGGTTGAACAAGGTAAGAAAGATTTCAAATTAGAATGAATGAACATTTTTTTTTTATTTATCCTTTGATCTAAGAATAAGTTTTATGCGTCTTACAAGAATGGTTTGGTGTTTTAAGAATTCATTTTTTAGCCATTATTAGACTCGATTTCAAATTTCTTGTTAGAATAAATCAAGATTTATATTACCATGACATCAAATACAATATTTAGGATTTTTAAGATTAGGAACGCTGTAATTTCAGTTGTTGTGATGTTGGATTTGATTTATAATAATTTTATCGTCACAATAAGAAATATTAAGTTGCACAGAAAGTTCGTGCAAAAATTTCAATTTGGCGGTCCAATAATTTTGTTGTACAGTGTTATACATTGTAAATCTAATAAATGGTTAAAACTAAATTGTTATATTGTAATGATGCGATTTTTGTATTATGTTGTTCTTAATAACAACATTGATTCATGCATAAATGACTTCATTTGATGCTACAATTAAGTATAACTAAATTTCATGTGAAATCGTGATTTTAATATACGGAAAGATTAACGATGCAATAATCGATCGAGTGAACCACAATGATGGCGAGTTCATATATGAACACGGAGACCACCAAATTTAATATAACACTAAATGCATCGCAGCAATTCAAATCACAAGTTCGAAATAATAATTGAACATTTTCTGTTCAATAGCTTTCTCTTTCATTTGATTTTATAGCAATTATTACTATAATTATTTTTATACAAAAACTTTATTTTATTTTATTTATTATATTATAACTTGTATCAAAACAGTAATACTTAATTACAACAAAAAGATAATAAGGATAAGGTCCGGTAATTTGATCGATTAGGATATAAATAAATATACATATTTAACAAGTGATAAAAGAAGAACTTTAGTCAAATTAACTTAAGGGGAAAATTTAAGTTAGGAAGCTGAAAAATGCACTAATTTATATAAATTTGTTCTTATTGTTAGTCCAACTAACATTGAATATTTTGAAATTTAAGGTAGAAATTACTGTATCTTTTAACAATAACAAATAATTATTTGCTCCCAAAAATGGTCGCATACAAGGCCATGTATGTGAGACACCATAACTATAAACGACAAAGCAAAATTTGATTTGGCTCGATAAAAGCAGTGTCTCACTAGAAGATCGACTTACATTAGAGTCGGTTGTATACTCTTGAGATCAGAAACCAATAGGAAATGAAATTTCGTGAGTTTGGCAGGTCTGGGTTTAGTTAGTTTGTGTACAGCGGTCACCTACAAATAGATAGAGCTCGCGTGGCAACGTATTCGGAGCTGCCGCGTGCCGAAACCGCAGCGAACTATTTTAGAAACTCGCTTGGCACCCACCAACTTTGTCCAGTCGACAAAGAGACTCGCCCAGTTTCCGTTATCGAGCGTCTTACGCGATTTATCTTCAAGAACAATAATAATAATCTATACGAAGTAATCGAAAATTCAATGAAATTATCAAACGTGAAGGGAACAATATCTAAAAATTCGGTTAGTATCGAATTTTTATTTTGGTGGGAAAACAAGTCGCCTAATTTCTTTTATCAAACATCTTATCTTCAAGAGGTATACTAATAGTTCGTATGAAGTAATTCCAAATTAAAGAAAATGATCAAAAGTGAAAGAGCAGTATCTAAAAATTCGGTTAGTTTTTATTGGATTGGAGTAAAAAGAAAGAATCGACAAGTGTGTTTAATCGGTTTACACACAGTTCATTTGAGTAAACACATAAAAAGGGGGTAAAATGTTTCGATAGATGAGACATTAACGGCGGGTACGTATAAATCTGTATTATTCATAGTCGTATATTAGTCATTCGCTTAAGATTGTTTGAAAGGACGTCTGACTAATTTTCGACACGATTACATTTTATGAAGCATTTGTTTATCAGAAATCGAAATTATTTGAATATTTTTGATCCCACGTGTAAATATAAACATATACCAATTCTCAATGTAGTATTAATAACATAAATTAGGTGTAATTATGAATAGGAATGTTTCATTATCGGATAATACCTAAAAAAGAAGAGTAATAAAGATAGTACGCTTGGTTATACACTCAAAAGATAAGAAGAAAAAATGTTTTAAGCTACGCACCGAGACATGGTTTATTGTTATTTCGTGTTTATGGCTTGCTTTCCGTTTGTGTGAGGGCACAGTTATAAATTTAAGTCTTGTGTGTTCGCGTGTCTCACGAATGTGACTCGCAAAGCTGGATCGACAGTAAAGAAAGTTGACTTTACTTGTCCAACCCGTTACTGATAAAACACTAAGACCACGATCGAGATCTAAAAGTGTTGGACAAACTGTGGCACGTGAATTGTAAACTGCTCTCACAATTATTTCCTTAGGTTCCTAAAACTTTTATAAGACATCCTAAATTATACTTTGTGGAGTCTATAATTGTTGTTTGTTCGACATTTAAAAAATAAACACTTTTTCTATTTCTAAGATAATATTCAGTTTTATTTGTTATTTTTGTAAACATTTGAATTAATCATTTTGATCATTCCAAAATTTATAAGAAATTTATATTATCTGATAAATTGGACAACCATGATCTATAAAAATGAACCAATGAACCAACGAGAAAATGATGGAACGAATAAAAGAAAAAAAATCTTTTCCAACTGGAAACGTAGCGTCTTTAATGATAGTGCATGTATGTATTGGACCCCACGCCGTGTTTTGAGAAGACCTTGGGTGAGCTGAAAAAGCAGATCAAACGTTCCACGACGTCGTCCTGTACAATTTATTTCTCTCTTAACGCGACGCAAACAGCATACTTTCGAGACTAATGGTTGTAGTACACCATGAGTAATATTGAAGAAGGAAAAAAAAAAGAAAAAAAAGAAAAGAAAAAAAAAAAACAAACAGAAAAAATTATCGTTTTATTTTAGTATCGTGTTGGAACGTCTTCATTTGAATTTACCGCGCTTGTAAAGAGAATCCGAACGTTTCAAATCTATAATTAGTTTATCCTGGTATTTAAATCTATTTTTCCTGTTATTTTATGATTTATGTGTGTACTCAAGTACTATTATTATTTTCTATGTAAAAAATTTCTACGTGGCAATTAAACGATAATGAAATTCAACGCTTTGATGGGAGTTTAACTTAAACACATACATACACACAGAGAGATATTGTTGATCGATCGTTATATGCAGAAATAAAAGGAAAAAAATAAAGAAAAATAGCTAACATAAGAATTGGCAAGAAAGAGAGAAAGAGAAAGAGAAAGAGAGAAAAAGCTTTTATTCAAGAGACTTTCTTTTCTTCGTGTACGCTGCACATTCGCTTAAAGTGCGACGAGAAAGAAAAAAAAAAAAAGAAAATAGAAAAAGAAAAAAAGAAAGTAAGCTATAGGGTATTTAAGCCGCGTGGGATAAAAACACCGAGCGATTAGAAGGAACGTTGAAAAACGCTTTCCGGACGATTTCGAGATGCAAGGGATGGAGAAAGGAAAGGAAAAAAAGATGCTCTAAACGAACGAACAATTGAACACACCCAACCCACCCTCCTTTTCAATTTTTTTCTTTTTTATTTTCTTTTTCTTTAGCTTCTACATTTTTTATATACCTTTTTTTTTGTCGACACACCCGTTAGAAAGACCAACGAAAAGGCCAGATGCCAGATTATGGACGATACTATCGGATACAAGTGAAAAACAAAAAAAAAACAGAGAGAGAGATTATTTTTGGTTGTTTTTAAGATACTTGACAGATCGCGTTAAAGCGTTAATGAAATATTTCTGTTTAAACGTTCCGCCATATTTATTAATGTTTATCTATGTGGGATGAGCACTTCCATGCCAAATACTTAATTAGGCATTCGTGAAGAGATTGGACGGTGGACCAGACAAAAGACAAGGGTTCGAGGGTGAGACTAGCAACCTACCCTTGGTAAAAATAATAAAAACAATAAAAAAAAATAGCTATTATAAAAGGACGAAGTCCTAATAAAAAGAAAAAGAAGATCAGATGACATGAAGCTTTAAGATGAACACTGAAAAACCAAAAAAGCTTGATGACAATATTCTGAGGACTTTAATGGATAATGAACCACTATTAATTATGAAGAATATCGGAAATAAGTTTAGCGTTAGTCACATAACAAAAAACGATACGTTCCGATTCATTGAAAATAATAAATAGTGTTTACGATTTTGTTTTTATTGTTTTGTTAGAGAAAAAAATATAATTTTACTCAAATGTGATAAAAATTTGATCTCACAAGAATATATTTGCATCTACGATAAAAGATATATTATAAAAATACAATGATTATTTTTTTAATTGTGTAAGTAATATTTGATTGGCCCTTCTTTTGCATCTTACATTAGAATACTTTTGATATGATTAGGTAAATATTGTGAGAGCAATTTTTTATATTCAATTATATCAAATTTTTACTTCTCTTAAATAAAATCAATATTAATTGAAAAATTGAATAATCTTGAAAATAATCCATTTTGTGTAGAAATCAATCGATTAAAACTTACAGTATAAATATTCTTATGACTTATTATATATATGAATTAGCGTGCACGTGCATGACGATTATTAGAACGTAAAACTTGCGTGCGTCTCGTTAAATCGTGCCTCGAGTAAAAAAAAAAAAAAAAGATTCTTCCACATGATATTGGAACGCAGGACGAGTTTAAAAAATAGTAGAAGAGGAGGAGAAGAGGGGATAAAGAGGAATAATTATGTCAAGTGGTACGATTTTTCTTCCTCACGTCACGGAACTTGCACTTTTAAAACTTTTCATGAGTATAATTTATAGCTATGTGTGTGTTGTATTCGTGTTTTTTAATGTATGTGTATTTTTGTATGTATATAAATAGAATTAATTGCATAAGAGTATGAAGAAAGCAATTTCATCTTTTAAAATCGTTGTCAACTTGTTTATTTTAATTTGAAATGGAACTAGGAGGAGATTAATTGGTATAGTTGTTCGCGTAAAGCATAAAAGCATGACA